TGTACAAGCAAAAAAAAACATTTTACCTGGGATTGAGTGTTCTTATGCCAATTGAAAGAGCCATTAGTAAGAGGGAGACGTTCATTGGGTTCACAATTTTGATAGTGTCGAATGGATAAGCTTTCCAAAGGTTATTGCTTACTGTGATAATCAACACAATGACCATTTAATGAGGTATTAAAAAAAAGAAGATGAAAAGACAACAAGGAGTTAATTGAGTTCATAGAAATAATGAAAATTAAAACTCCAAAATTTTGCAAGTTAGCACATTTATATATAGTATAGATTTAGAACAAGATAACCAAAAGCCGAAAGATGAATTTGTTGTGGCATTAAATTTGGAGGATAAGCATGACATAGTTATACTGTTGGAGGGTAAAGGTGAAAAAAATTATTTTTCATATATGCTGGTACTTTATAAATCTACTAGTTATTCTCTGTACCTGAAGGCACATAATAATAAAAAATAATAAATAATAAATATATTTGTATTTATATTCAAAATCAAATCACAAACATAGAGGAGAGATAAATGAATTTAAGTATCGGTTGTAGTGAGGGTGAGAGGTGGTAGGCGGCAGTGGAGGTGGTAGGAGACAGTAATTGTTGTGGAGGGTGGCTGCGGCGACAGTGGTGATGGTAGAGGTAATGGTGGCGGGGGTGGTAGAGATAGTGGTGGAGCGATTTCGAACACTTTTTTTTTTAAACTATTTATGAGAAATAAGTCATAGAAGTATTTTTAAAAAATCACTTCAAACACACCCTTAGGGCTTATTTTTCCTATTAAATTTAGGGTGTTAATATTAGCCGTTAGATTAACTTTAAAATAAAATTTAAAACGATTTGAACCGCAAAAAGCAAAAATCATTTTTTTTATTTTTTGAAATTTGAATTGTAAGCTATTTTATTATATAGATACTACTACGAGATTTTCTCCAAACCCAGCCCTCCTCTAATCTTAATTCCAAAACCCAGTCAGTTTTAAACTTATTTTTCAAACCCAACTTTTTTAAAAAAACGTCATTTGGAATGACGATTTAAAATTTAAATTCTTTTTTTTTCTGAAAATGTAATTCTTAATGATGTTTTTAAAATCGTCATTTATAATGACGTTTTTAAATATTAATTTTTAAACGGCCACTAATGGACGTTAAAAATAAATAAATGGGTGCAAATAAAAATGTCATTTACAATGACGATTTGAACGTTATATCTCTTCCCTTAAAATTTTCCAAATCACAGACCACGTTAAAAATTTTTGAACATTTGCACGCTCAGCTTTCCTCCTCCACAAACAACTATGAGCAAACTCCTCCACCCACCCTCTTTTTCAACAAGCTTCAACCATTGTTTATCCAGCGAGTTAGCGAATGAGCAGTGAGCATTCTCCATTCTCCATTCCAGACTAAGCATTCTCTATTCCAGACTAAATCGATTTTGCCCTAAATCGATCCAGAACACCAACGATTAAACATTGCTACACCAACAACTAAGCACAGCTCTAATCCACCGAGCTCCATCAAGTCTTCCATCCATTAGATCAAAGCTCCACAGGCATTTCCATTGAGTCCTCCACCGAGTGACCATCTTCGACTCGCATCAAGCAAGAGGTATGATGAGTAATCGGTCACTACTTGTCACGCCCTATCTCGATCTCCCAAGGATGAGATGCGACTAAGTTTTACATACACCTGTGAACAATTATTATAAGCTGGACTAATCAAACATAATATAATCTCACAGGTGCAACAACAACACTCATCACCTTAATTATTAAGCATGATGGTAAAACCTGTCTGATAACATGTACTACATATAAACACCTGTACCAATCATTTATTTTCCAGGTTATAGACATATACAAAATCTCATACCCACATAACATACATCACAAAGTATGCTTGGCGAGTCTATTTACAAATATATATTATTAAAGTGCTATAAATATCTCTCATAAATATAATATACAGCCCAACAGTTAATCATACCGACACGCAACCTGAGTGGTATCACACTAATGTTGCACAAGACTCAATCAACTGGACAGTGGACCGGTCTGTATTCTCCTCTATAGTACCTGAAAGAAGAAACTGTAGAGGTGTGAGCTAAACTACGCGTTCAATGAGTATACATGCAGTATATGAAATGAAAATGATAGTAATACATTGCAGTAGATAGCTATTACGTAGATACACGTATCAGACAACAACATCAATCTAATTCCAAAGAATTCACAAGTCACATCACATCCACACTACCTCTCATTGGGTAATTGATCCCACATGGACCCGTGTCTCCCGAACCTCCCAGGAACACCACAGTACTAGCACATCACTGCACGCCCAGTGACCGGGCATCGACGCCCCTGTCTCAAATAATGCGCCACATTTCACAATACACAGTACAAAGTATCATCCAATCACATAAGCACGTAGCACATAATCCTGAAGAATTACTATTAAATTCTAACATTTACTATCATCTGATAATAGTATTTTCAAAACATATAAAGATATACATACACCCACCTCTGATGTATAAATCTACAGCCCTCCGATCCTATCAGTGGATCCTTTCGGTGTCACCGTACCTATTTCACTACCGACTGACTCACTCATTCCACCAAACACATTGGTAATTACAATATCAATATGGTTATCAAATTTAATAATTAATCATGCACTAATGCATGCAAATAATGTACCCCAAAATGCCCCGGTAACTCCGGTTACCGTCCTATCCACTCACACACTGGTACTTTTTTTCTAGGGATCACATTTCCTCTCTAAATTCCCAAATTTAATCACATTAATCACAATTAGGATTAAACAGGTCAAACACATTGACATGGGGCCCATTTTCACACATTTTGATCCCGAATCCTAAAAACTGCACTTCTGGCATTTCATACATTTTGCACCAGATATTATACTCATTTGCATTCGAAAACTCACATTATCACATCAAGCATTATTTAAAAATACTGCATGCAAAATTTTAGGTTATTTGGATTAAAATTCGCACATGTAATAATAACATTTAGAAATCAAGATTTCGGCATTACCGACACCCTTTTTCAATTTTTATCATACTTTTCTTTTAAAACAATTATACCTAAACTCATACATTCACTAAATTATGAAAAATTAGCCCCCACCCCCTAATTGCATTTTTAAATCACTCATGTCACTCCCATAATATCGGTTCCAACCTAGCCCTCAAAAACATACCGAACATATCAAATAATTATTTTTCACATTTTTCTCATCTTTATTTTAGTACCTATTTGGAACCTAATTTTTTAATAGCCCGTTAATTATGCTAAATATATTTAATTACACCCATACAAAATCAGTTTTGACATTAACTAAATCAACCCATGAAATTTGATTTAAAATAACCCATTAAAATAAAATAAGACAGTTCATGTATTTAAATTAAAATAGCCTACTAATTAAAACATGCTAAAATAACCTACACATATACAAATACGTATATACTAAAATTAATTACAACTCAAAATTTAAATCCTTATACCTTCCTTACTTATGATTCAAATGGACGCACGTAGGTATTTTTTTTTTTTTTTGACGGCTTCTTCTCTCTTTCTTTTTCTCTCTTGTTCTCCTCTCTCTCTCTCTCTCTCTCTCTCTCTCTCGGCTTCAGCCCAAAACCAGAACACTCTTTCTTTTTTTTTTTTTTATCTTAAACACACAGCACACACACACCTGACACCTAAAAACACACACACCCATACCCACGACACACTCACACACACACACACACGGTACACTTATATATATATATATATATATATATATATATATATATATATATATATATATATATATATATATATATTTTCACATGTCAACACCTGTAAAGGTAATGGGTTAATTACCCTTGCCTCCCCCCAAATTTTTAAATGATTTCAAAATCGATCCACTAATATTTTCACACATAAAATTCTTATAAATGGATCTCACAAATACATCACTAATGGGGTCCACATACCCAATGTATGCTCACTCACATCATGCTTATGAAAGATGTAATTTAATTACCCTTATAATAATTTTACATAATTAAGATTTAACCCACAAAATTATACTGCATGCAATGCGTGATTGAGTCTCACACTACTCCTCTCCTACATCTGCTGTCGCTGAGTGCATTGATCCTAATTGTAGATGAAGTGTTTAGGAAGTATAAATCCAATAGAATGAAGGGAAAATGCCAATTTTAAATTCCATGATGCAGATTTAAGGGTTATTGATTGCCTGGTCACAACCATATTCAGCTTTATAGACTTGCATTGATTTAGCAAAAAGCCAGAAAAAAAAAAATGAGTCAATCAAATGCACTAACAAAAATGAATTACCTTGCACATATTTTGTCAAGGGTATAAGTCACAATACCTGCAACGAAAACAGGGGGAGAGAATTTAGCACAGCATAGCATCAAGTTGAGCCATTGCTTGTATTGTATCAAGGTTAAGGGGTGGTGGTGTTTTGTTTATTGTTGTTTAAGATGGGTGGTTTCTAAATATATGGTGATGGACATTGATATAGTGCTTGGTTTTTTTCAAAAAGTAAATTAATTACACTCGAAGATGGGTTTTTTTTGAAAAGTTGAAACGATATGACTTAATAGAGTTTTTAAAGTTGTCACTAATTCAAGAACAGATTAAGAAGTTTTTAAAGTTGTTTAACAAGAAGTTTCCTAGTTGGTAAGGGACGGTGTTTGGGGCAAGAGACTTGAACTTCCACTACTTAGAATTAGCAATTATTTGTGAAATTGGCAACTATATAACATTCTGGGCCTTCAAACATTGTTCAAGTTGGTTTGTTATGATTTAAATTATGGGCTTTAGGTTGCTCCTGTTAGGTATTACTTTTTTGTTTTACAAAATTACCTAAGAGAGTTTACATTTTAGGTTGTTCGGCTTAGGTATTACTTGATTGCTGATGTAGTTTTCTTGCTATTGTCCTTATATATAGGCTGCAAGCTTTGAAGGAGCAAACATTGATCCAACAGCATGGGAGGATAAAAAGAACCCTGGTGAATCACGATTCCCTGCTCAGGTGTGTCTTCATTGAGTTCTCGCTTCTTATGCATCTGAGTTAATGGTCAAACAATAGAAGTTGATGTTCGGATCTCTTTTAGATTTGATTAGAAACAATGTTAGATATCTAGTTTACACTGCTATTTATTGGCAAGGATTTGGCATAAAAGCACAGCAAGGTTGCAACATATTTTGTTTTCGGGTTTATGATTTACAAGTCTTCTGTTTGTGGACAGATGCGAGTTATGACCAGGCAAGTTTGCGAGCCATTAGAAGAGGACTCCTTCAGGCCTATTCTTCATCACTACAATGGTCCTAAGTTTCGACTTGAGCTAAACATTCCAGAGGTAATTACTCAACATTTCCTTAACAAGCTTTTTCCTTAAAGCACTTTATAACACTTTATAATGCACAGTTTGCTAAAATATTGGTCTGGTTTTGGATTTTGCAGGCTCTCTCTCTGTTGGAAATATTGGCAAAAAACAATCCTTGAACAACATGCCAACAAGCCATACAGGCAACACACCTAACATACAATACAATGAAGAAAAAGAGGAGGATGAAAGTAGAAAAGGGTTAGAGAGTGGTTTGGCTGCAATATGTTTTGTGAAGAGTTTGAAAGAGGAAGATGAATGGAAAAGGATTTTGTACATACAGCCTAGATGATGATGTATAGCTTTTTTGCATGGAAGCTGTTATTAGTGCTTGTTGTTCTTTGGCTTGGGGTACACTTATATAAAGAAAAATAATGAAAATTGAATTTTATTTATCGCGGCTTCAAAATGTACAAGAAATGAATGGTATTGTTGCTTCTTTTTTTTTGGAGGTATATGATTATCATAGATAAAGTTTCAAGTCTCCTCTGTTTGTGATGTTGTGAGGAAGCATTGCTATTGAAGAATAACTACCTAACTAGTAGGTGAAATGAATTAAATTCATGATGGCTTGTTTAAAGCTAAAATGCTTTAGAAATTTTAATAGTTGGGTTTAATATGTTCTGAAATTGGCTGGGGAATTCAGTTAGAGAACTTGGATCATTCTCTCTTTAAGATTGGTCTACTTGTGGAGCACAGCCAAGAATAAGTTTTCTTTCGGTAGCTCTATAGAGGAATACATACTTTTTTGGATATAGAAGTGTGTTTTCAAAACACGCTTTTAAGTTTTTTATTAAATATATGTTTTACAAATATGTTTTTATATTAAAAAATATGAACTTAAATTATGTTTTTATGAATTTTATTTTTGATTATAAAATAAGTTCAAAATTATTATGAAAACAGAATTAAATTCTAAAATTTATTTAATTTTTTTTTTGCCTAGTAAATCATGATGTGAGAAATTAGTTGGAGTAATTAACTTTTATGAAATTTATTACAAGTAGGTTGGAGACTTTTGACTAAGAAAAAGTCATTGTAAAAGGCTAAGTAGACGTTTTTAAAACTTCATTGTAAATAAAGGGGTAAAAAACATCATTGTTAATAAAGGGGGCAGGAAATGTCATTGTTTATAAAGAGGCAGAAATTTTTAAAACGTCATTTTACAATGACGTTTTGAACTCCTTTATTTTTTTTAACATCTGTTGGCGGTCGTTTAAAAATTAATTTTTAAAAATGTCATTATAAATGACGACTTTAAATCATCATTCCAAATAACGTTTTAACATCTAAAAATGTCATTTCAAATGACGTTTTTAAAAAAAAATTGTGTTTGAAAAATAAGTTCAAAACTGACGGAATTTTGGAATTAAGATTTGAGGGGCTGGGTTTGGGGAAAACCTCTACTACTTATAAATACACCTTAAGGTGAAAATTTTTTATTTTTTGATTTTGCCCTTGTGATCAATTAATTACAATAGTATCCTTCATTTATAGTTATTATAATGGATTTGCATTGAGTGTATTAAGTATTAACTACTAATAAGCTCTAAACATGAAAGTGGACAATCAAAAAGTTGCATATATAAAACAATTGAACAAGCAAGTGGACAGTTCCAGAAATTTTTTTAATTTATTAATCAATGACAAAACCGGCAAATCACGAAAGGCAACTCAATATGTTCTTTTATTCTCTTCTTCTTCTTTTAATCAAGTTGAGAATTTCCTATCGAGGGAAGCAGTCACGCAAATTAGTACGTACTGCATTTTCTCCCTCGATGAAGGTGTTGGTTGTTGACAAACTTCTAAAGCATTCAGACATCAATATGGCCACCTAAGAGTTTGGGCCGGTCCAATCACTTGGCCACTAAAACTTGGGCTTTAGCCCCACTTTAAGAAAGTCTCATAATTTTTAGGCGAGTAAATTGTAAGAGGTACACCAAATTAGACTTATTTGGCAAAAAATTCACACTAATAAATGTAGGGTTATTAAATATTTAATTTTGATACTTATTTGTATCCAAGTACATAATTTGAATTTATCTATTTTTATTGTGATATTTTTGTCCTCCATTGGTGAATGTGTCTTTTTTTATTGAAAAAACATTAATTTTCAAATTATATTTGTGTATTAAATAAGTCCTAGTTTAATGGGAGAGAAATAAAACACTTTCCAATAAAATTTTAAATTTTAAATACACTTAAATTTATCCTTTTTTAAGAGGGAAATATACGCTTGTTTTTTTCTTGAAAAAGTTGGGTATATTTATGGGTTTATTCTTGGAAAAGCTGGGTATATTCTTTCATCACCTGCAAGACGATTTTGCTTCTTCTTCAAATCTTGAGGCAAGTTATGCTTCTTCTTCATCCAGCTGCAAGCCGATATTATTCTTCATTGACATTACACTGGTATTTTTAAGAGTGAAGCCTTGAAACAAGCACTGGTATATTTGTGCATGAAACAGAGTTTCTTCAAGATTGAAGCCGATTTTTTTCGTCACCTACGAGGCGATATTAACACTTTACACTTTTAATTTTTATCTTCTTCTACTTCCATCTGCAAGCCAATATTACTCTTCAAACGTATGTGTTTGAGATTTTGTTCCAGTCGAAGACTGAAGCATTTAGCCTGACAATATCATAACAGGAATTACAAGGTATGTTACATTTAATCTATTAGCATACTAAATGAATATGTATAAATTTTTTCAGTTTTTATTTGTTTGGATATATGTTTTTTATTTGACTTTTTATTGTACCTATTCTTTTAATAGTTTGTTAGCAATGGAGGAAACAATGTTATTGTTATGTACATATGGTAATGCTACTAAAGTATTTAAAGTAGGTGGTAATTTAAATTTTTCAGAGCTGATTCGCGAAGTTTGCGAGACGTGGAAGGAGTTGTTTAACTTGTCAATACATATGTCATATTCTATTCCTAGTCACCCCTCGTGCATGTTACGAACCGATGCTGATTTGAAGAATTTGGTTGAATTGAAATGTTGTTTCCCAGGAAATTACGTTGAAGTTAATGTGTTTGTGGAAGATACCGAGGATGGGTCGATGGGTGGTGATAATTCATTACAGTATGTGAATATTGGTGATGTTGTTGAATGTGAAGTGGATTTGTTACCCAGTTTTATTGGTCACAATGAAAAAATTCTTCGAACAACTGGGTGGAGTAATGAAATACGGCACGTACGACAGAAATTTGAAGGTGGTGTGGTACAGTTTCGGGAAGCACTTTGCAAATACTCGATTGAGTCTGGTTTTGAATTTAATTATGTAAGGAATTGTAAAGAAATAGTTATTGTTGAATGTTAATTTAAGTATTCTTCTGGGTGTGGGTGGCATATATATGCAACTGTGGAGAGATCTACTGATTTTTTTTATATTAGGAAATTGAACAACAAACACATTTGTGGTGTGGATCTATGAACGACAGATAACAAGCGAATGAGTTCTAAATTTGTTGCAAATCTTATTGTTGATCGTGTTCGTGGGCATAGCACAACACGTCCAACGGAAGTGGTTGCTGATTTTTTTTCTGATTATGGACTCACCATTTCTTATGATAAAGCATAGGAAGGAGTTGAGAAAGCAAAATGTATGCTTTTTGGGGACCATTCATTATCGTACCAACAATTACGTTGGTATGTCGATGCAGCAAATCGTACTAATCCGGACAGCCATATTGTGTTAGATTGTGATCATGATACTAATCGTTTCAAAAGGCTGTTTGTTTCCTTTAAAGGTTGTATTCATGGGTTTAATTATTGTCGTCCACTACTTTTTTTGGATGACACATTTTTGAAAGACAGGTATAAAGGTAATCTTCTATCGACTACAGGAAAAGATGACAACCAAGGTATATTTTAATAAGGTTCTTTGAATGATACATTTTGTGGTTAAATTGTAATCTTTATGTTATACTGTCTTTGTTACACTCTGTTTGTTGTATTGTTACACTTTCGTTGTTACACTCTGTTTGTGTTATTGTTACATTGTTGGTGTTACACAATGATATGAAATAGTGGATTATTACCATTCACCACCCAAAAATGTTTTCGAATTACCATCTCATCTGTTACACTGTTTTTTATTTTAATTTTCACTAATATTGTATGTGCTGCATTTTTCCAGGTTTGTTTCCTTTGGCATTTGCTGTGGTTGATTCGGAGAATGAGGCAAACTGGTTTTGATTTTTAGAACATTATCTAATATATTGGATAAGTCTCGGGTTGTTATATTTGTATCTGATCGGAACTTGGGTCTATTAGAGGCAATGCCGAAAGTTTTTCCAAATGCTCATCATGCATTTTGTTTGCAGCATTTGAAAGGTAATTTGCGGGATAAATTAAGTGGTGGTCGTTTTTCTAATGTATTTCGAGAACGCATGGTGAGATTGTTACGTGAGTGTGCTTATGCACCAACACAGTCACTTTTTAATGAAAAGATTGAAGCGTTTCGTCGTCAAAGAGGTTCTAATGTGGACAGGTTCCTGTCTAATCTTCCATATGAACACTGGACAAATGCTCATTTTTCAGGGAAACGTTATGGTGAGATGTGTTCTAATGCTGTCGAATCGTTTAACGCGTGGATTTTGAAAGCTCGGCATTTACCTATTACTAGCATGGTTGACACAATTAGGGGACAGATAATGGATCAAATTGGTCAAAGGATGAAGATATGTTCGGATTGGAATGAGAATTTATGTCCTAATATGTCTTCGAGATTACAAGCTGCATTTGATGAGGGAAGGTCATGGACTATGCGGGTTTCGAATAACCAAGTGTATGAAGTGATGTCATATCCTTCGGTCACCATTGATATTGTGAATGACACGTGTTCATGTCGTCAGTAGCAAATAAATGGGTTTTCTTGTTCACATGCGATTTCTGCAATACGAAAGAGTGGACGGAATATCAACGAATTTGTTGATTATTACTATCATGTCAGCACGTACAAGATGTCATATTCTGAACCGATTTATCCAGTACCAACTGTATATCGTGATGAAAGTTCGGATGTGGATGTTAATATTTTGCCACCATGTACGAAGAAGCAACCTGGTAGACCAAAGAATCGTAGAATTCGGTCTAGGGGAGAAATCATTAGGCGAATTCGTTGTGGTCGGTGTGGACGTTTGGGCAATCACAACAAAAAGTCTTGTAACGAGCCGTTGTAGATTGGTTTAATGCTATCATTTAATGACATTGTTTAATGTTTTAAGTTTTTTACAATGTGTTTTTTTCCTCATTGGTTTGATTTGTTTGTTTTAGATAATTTTTC